TCCCAAGACATCTTGACATTTTCAGAACTTTGGTCAATTATACGTAGTATTTTTATTGGAAATATATTTTAATATAAAAATTATATGAAAACGTTCTTTGTTAAAACTACTTTCATAAAAATATAAAATTTATAACTTTCATAATATTATACTAATTAAAATCATGGTTCAAATTTTATGAAATGACAAAGTTTTTTTAGACGAAGGTAGTAAAACATCAAAAAACCGTAGACACGAAATTAAGACTCACATTCGTGTCTGACCTATTGCAAGTAGGGGTGTACCTGACCCGAAACCGGGTCCGACACTGTTTGGGACATGACGGGGTCTGTTTTTTCAGTCCTGGTTCAAGACCGAGTACTCGATCCCAGGCTTGAGTTTTGGGGACCGGGCCAAGTAGTTTTGATCCCAGCACAACACAACCGTTTTTTACCGTATAAACGAAAATATATATATATATAACCCGAAACTGGGACCGGACCGCCCGGGACTAGAAACCGGCCCAGACTCGGATTTAACCGGGCCAGAGCCAATCTTCCCCTAACACTAGCGAGACCGGCTGGACAGATATCGGGACCACCCCTAATTATAAGTATAAACTAGAAACCATTAATTTAGCCATTCAAGCTCCTTGTTATAGCACCAAAGTACTTCGTCTTTTAATTACCATCATCCTATTTAAGGATGTTTTTAGTTGAACTGGAATTTTTTGGTTTGGTCTGAACTGATCCGGTCTGATAAATGTCTGGTCTCTGTGTATTTTATAATTATCCAAGTCTGGTCTGGTCTGGTCTAGAACTCAAAACAGTCCAAGTAAAAACACCCTAATGGATTGGTGGTGATAGTTATACTTTTTCAACTTTGAACCTCCACTAATGGTGATTTCATGCTAGTAAGTTATTTACAAAGAGGATAAATACGTCTTTTGATTAATAAAGTTGAAATCGCCACTCTTAAACACAATTTCCAAGTAGAGATTTGAGATTCGGCGTTTTTGAAAGAAAAAAAGGAGCCATGCAATCCCTCATCAACCAAAACACCTAAGCTGGAGGTTTGACTAAGATAAAACCGCAGAAAATTGTCAATCAGCTAAAAGAATCTCTAAGATAAAACCGTTAGAAATGGTCAATCCACTAAAATATAGTTGATCTGCCATTTTCCAAACACACCCTATAAGAAAGACGGATGACAATAAACTCAGCCTTCCCACATGTGTTGGAGATCTGAAAGGCGACAGTTGCACCAAAGGATCATAAATCGTCGAACTTTTAGAAATTGTTTTTGAGGCACATCACTACCTTAAGCACAAGAGACAAGGCATGGATGGTTATGTGGCTCTCAAGTTGGACATGAATAAGGCGTATAACAGGATCAAATGGAATTTTTGGAGGCTATCTTATACAGGTTGGGTTTTGATGGAAAATGGATCTCTTTAATGATGCAGATTGCAGACTGTGAGGACGGTGTCATACTCTATTCCTTTCAATGGTACAGAGCTTAGACCAGTGATTCCTAACAGTGGTCTGAGACAGGGGATCTGCTCTCTCCTTACCTTTTTATTCTTGTTGCTGAAGGTCTAAGTGCTTGATTGAGACAGGAGGAAGCGGCAGGCAATCTGCATGGCGTGTGTGTGGCGAGAGGCGCTCCCAAGATCTCTCAATTGCTATTTTGCTATTTGCCGATGATTCGTTCATGTTTTTTTAAAGCATCTCATGATGAATGTTCGATTGTTAAGACGGTTTCGGAAGTTTATGAGGAAGCCTCCGGCCAAGTTGTTGTTGTTGTTGTCAAAAATAACAATCTAAGCTAGTAAACTAACCTAAGATAGTAACTACCGTTCACACGCCCCCCCCCCCACCTCGCTCGAAGTTATTAATTATTCCAAATCCACTATTTTTTTAGTGCCAATGCTAACAGAGACCGGCATGAGGGTTTCAATGAAATGTTGGGTGTTCAATCAATGAATGCGGGTGAGGGGGGATATCCCGGCCTCACCTCATTGGTAGGTAGTAGCAAAAAGGATGTTTTGGCCTACATCAAGGAAAGAATTGTTAAACGACTTAATTGATGGAATCATAAATTTTTATCAAGCACATGGCGAGAAGTCATGATCAAAACAGTTCTTTAGGTCATGTCTAGTTATGCAATGAACTTTTTCTCTTTCCTAAGGAGATGTGAGTTGAGAGTGAAAGGAGAGTGAACGGATTTTGGTGGAGAGGGAACTCCAGTACAAGAATCAGATGAACTAGTTGGGATAATTTGTGCGCACCGAAGAAATTTGGGGGTTTGGGATTCAGGAGACTCCGGAGTTTTAATTTTGCAATGTTGGGGAAGCAGACATGGAGACTACTTACCGAGCCGGACTCATTACTCACAAGGGTTTTCCGGGCTAGGTATTTTCCTAATTCTACTTTTTTGGATGCAAAGATTGGTGGGTCCCCATCTTTTATTTGGAGGAGTATTCTCGAGGCAAAACCGGTGATTACACGTATGGATGATGGATTGGGAATGATAAGTCATTAAATATTTGGAAAATCCTTGGTTGCCGGATGACTTAAATCTGAGACCTTCCTCGGAGGTTTTTCATGGGTTTGAGGAAAGCAAAGTGGCAGGTTTATTGTTGACTGATGAAAGGACTTGGGACAATGACTTGGTATCTGAGTTATTTAATGAGAGGGATAGAAGTCTCATTCTGGGGCTTCCATTGAGATGGCGGGAGATGTCGGATAAAATCTTCTGGCCTCTGGAAGATAAGAGTAATTTTCTGTATGCAGCTTTTATCGGGGTTTAATGGGATGACTTTCAGCCCGATCAAGTAGTGGAATGGGCTTGGATGTGTAAATTCAACATTCCACCCAAGGTAAAGGCGTTAATTTGCATGCTTGCGCAGGTTATCCCCTACCGCAAATAAGCTCATGAGCCGGAGGGTAGATTGTCAGCCTTTGGATCCATTTTTTTTCAAGAGTATGAGACAACTCTGCATATTTTGGGGTCGTGTCAGGTGTCTCGGCAGGTCTGGGGGAAGTTTCAGGTCTGGATGCAGGAGCTAATTTTTTAAAGTGAGTCGATATTTTCGCCAACAAGGAGATTGAGAGCTATTGCATGCTCATTATGATATTATGGAGTATTTGACGTGCTAGGAATGTGAACGTCCGGGAACAGAAGAATGTCACCGTGGAAGGTATTGTAGCTGAAGTTGGGGCTTACTTAGGGGGGTGGCATAGAACTCAAGAGGTGGGCTCGAAGCAATTGCAAAGTGCAGTGGTTTGACACATTGGCATAGAACAGAGGAGGGTCGACTAAAGTTAAATTCGAACACATCTTACTTAACCGACAATGCTTACGGTCTGGGTTGGGTGATTCGTGATTGTGGAGGTCTCTTTGTCGCAAGTTGGGCTCACAAGTGGTTAGGAAACTCCCCATTGAGGGAGGCACTGAGTGACTCCCTCAATGGGGAGTCACTCAAGTCATTAAAGCAACAAGATCGGGATAATATTAATGTCAAGTCTGATGCTCTTCAAGTCATAAAAGTATTTCTCATGGAGGAATTGTTCGGCCATGTGTTTGATCATGATTTTATAGAAATCACATCTAATTTTACTTTCTTTCATGTGAAACGTTCTGCTGCTAATTGAGTAGCTCATGATCTAGTTTGAGTTTTTGTTTCTTTGTCTGAACGTGGTGTGTGGTAGGGGTGAGCAAATAACCGATTCAACTGACCTGACCGAAAACCGATGACCGAACCGACCGAAAAAATCCGTTTTCGGTCGGTTATCGGTTATCATAAATTAAAAATAATCGGTTATTCGGTTTTTATTCGGTTTTATTTGTCGGTTATCGGTCGGTCACCGATAACCGTCCGATTTTTTTTTTATTTTTTTTATTTTTTTTGTAAATATTTAAGTAAATATAATTAATATACTCCATAATAAATTAATAACTCCATAGTAACGATAAAAAAAGAACTCCATAGTAATGAAATATGAAGTCCAGCCCACACCTATTGAACTCCACCTACAAAACTCATCAGTGGAATGCTATGGAGCCCGTTCTTCAATTATCCACTTCCCCATTTCTTTAACTTGTATTCTTATAATCAATTCATGGAACACCCTGTTCAAAATTTCAAACCTCCACGTACACCTTCATTAGTTCTGGAGGAATCAACCTTGGTAAAGAAAAATCAACCGAAATCCTTATTTAATCGTTGCGAAATTGCACACATTTTTTCTTTTAATGTTTTCTAGATCCTTTATTATCTTACTCAACATGGCATATCTTTTGATTTTTAATTTTTTCTTTAGTGGGATTTAAAATATTCAGAAACTTTTAGATGGGTTTGCTCATTTGGGGTGTAAAGATTAATAAGATATTAGCTTATTTATTTGCTAACATATTCTTTTTTATTTTGTTTTGACAATTGTGGAACAATGAAGTAGTTTCAACGTGAGATTTTTTAGTTTTTGTAATCGTATTGTGCTAAGAACAATTATTTACATTTAAATATGTTGAATCCATTTTGGTATTTATTATTTTATTTATTAATGTGCTATCTACAACTTTTATAATTTTGAAAAATATATGTTTTGGTCGGTTATGTTCGGTTAATCGGTTACCGACCGAAACTGAATGACATTTTTCGATCAGTTTTTGTAATGTTATCGGTCGGTTTTCGGTCGGTTATGAGAGGAAAAAACATTGGTCGGTTATTCGGTTATCGGTCGGTTATTTGACCGACCGACCGAATGCTCACCCCTACACAAACAGTGTGTGGGTTTATAACTCCCCTTCTTGTATTAAAACTTCTTTGGCCTTTAAAAATAGTTAATTAGTTTTCCATAAAAAAAATCTACTGCTCGGATATTAACCCTACAATTTAGGCGGGCATATTTGGAGCATAACTTAAAAGTAAGATGAAATAGACGTTATTTTAACGTTATTTGTCAAAACTCTGAACCAATTGAACAAAGCATTTGCCAAGATGCAAAAGATTATGTGCTAGCAGCAATAGTAATAATAATATTAATTAATAAAATAAAATAATAATTACAGCAATGAAGCTGATAGCAGCAACCAACTATAATAATAAGATTATGGCACCATATTTAAATGAATAACCTTTCTTTAACTAATACTCCGTACTACCAAACAGCAGGTAGTCAGGTACTAACAAAATCAATGATCAACCAAAACTTGTGAAAACGTATTATAATATATAATAACGAATATCAGTTTATAAAATTGGACTAAATTGCAAAGAACGGTGCCACAAATCACATCAACCACACTAAGTCTTCCTGCAAGGGCAACAAAGCTCTGGTCATGCATGAAAAGTGTTGTCAACAAGGCAAGTGGGTTTCTTCCAAATACATCCTGTTTTTGATGTAAAAAAGCCAAGTTGTCACCAATGATATTCACTGGCTAGCCAGCTCTCTTCCTCTAAGCAAACAATGCCATAGAAAACAAGAATATTTTGGATCCAACACAAAGAAGACAACTAGTAAGATGTGATGAAACTACTAAAGATACCTCATCTTTTCACCGGATTTAAGAATTTCATCGATATGAAGCTGACACTTCAACCTAAAAAAACACCACACTTCCAGGGGTACATTGTATTTTTCCAACAATTATAAAGGGTTAATAGATGAGAATGTGTAGCTTGCACCGCATTTTACCAGAGCATTTCACATTGCATCCCATGTTATTATATTTTATTTGACTTAGCATCCTCAGTGGGATGCAAAGACAAATATTAAGGTATATATGGGGTGCAAAGTCCATAAAGTATTGTTATTTGCACCCAAGTTTACTCCAATATTTGCATATATAAATGGCAATGATGAATAATATGATATGAAGAAAAAACTCTCATGGTTACAAAGTTAATAATAAGATCTTAATAAGATCTGTTTATGTTCATAAGTTTGTTGATATTTTTTTCACATGTGACCTTCAACCTCCATTTCGCATTTATTTACAGGAAAGCATTTTCAAGTTTTTCGTATGTTTGGCACGTGAAATTTCCACTTTCCTAACAAGACTTCCTGAGTTTGACATTGGAAAATATTTTAATGTTCTTTAGTTCATTTGAAGGCATCTTCCTACAGCAGTTTTACGTTTCCAATTTTCTACAGAACTCATTTAAAAAAAGAAACACAAGAAGTTATTTTCCTGGAAACAAACGGAGCCTTAACCTTGAAAGAAAATGCAGGTTCTTCAATGATAATCTGAGAAAGTATCAAGTGCCTTAACACTAGAATGCAATTTCACAACTATTGAACCTCTGGTTCCATCCAGTAGTATACATACTACAAATCCTCTGAAACCTGCAACCTGACACAAATGATTGGCAACAAACACATCAAAACAAAGCGATATCAAGGATTGGCCATGTATGGGGAAATGGACGCAAGAATTATCCATTTGTTGTCATTCCACTAAGAATGCCTGCCAACCCCAGCATCACCTATGAACAGTCTGATAGCAACTTAGCAAGAGAACCTGCCACTATGGCTCTACCCGTTAGCCCTGTAAATACAGGGGACTGTCATATTAAGCTACTTAATACAAGGTATATTTCATATGCTGCAAAATTGTATGGATATTGATCTCCATATTTGCATACTCATACTTTATATCAAAAAAGAAAATCGCAGTACATGGATGTAAAGAGACAATCCTGGCTGCACTATATAAAAAAATGTTTGAATAATGGAAATAGACGCCAGAGACTATCTGGATTGTGATCCATTCCATAGGCAAAAATGGAAGGGAAATTTGGTATTAGAACCCAAGTTTATCCAAATACTTGAGTTTGCACCCCCTAAAAACTTTTTTATATTGCACCACATTAGGGTGCGAAGTCAAATGTTAGAGTAGGGGCACAGGTGGGATGCAAATAACATATTTTTGTTAGGCTTCGCACCTCACTTAGGGTACAACGGTGCAAAGTAAGAGATAATAAAAAATGATTTGCATCATGGGATGGAAACACACATTCATTTCTTTGAAATACTTCTATACACTTTAAAGTAATGAAAATGACATAATCACGTAGCCGGAAAAGCTATCTATTGATCCAAATATTCAGATAATTTATAACCAAGATACAAGATACAATGTTAAAATGAAACCTTGACTTTTACAAATGTGAACCAACTGCTACAAACTATTGTCTGACATAATACTTGCAAGATTTAGCAGAAATTAGGTTCTTTAATTCCAACAAATGTTCATCATTTGAGATATGCAGTGTGATGCGAAGATTTGTCAACATTGTTTCTTGTTCCCAACTTAAGGGTCCAGAAGCATACAATGCCTCTAGAGTACTATGATAAGCATGCAACTCTAATCTATGAATGCTTTCTGCTAAGTCCTCTTCCTGAGGATGAGGGGAAGAATGAATTTCCTCCTCATCTCCAGAACAACAAACTGACTCTGCATCACTACAAAGCGCACCTGGTACAAAATGAAAAGGAAAGTCTGCCCGACATTCACTAGTAACACTACAACTACCAACAGAGCATGAAACACCACTATCAGAGTCATTCAAGGGTGAAAAGGAGCAACTGTCCATTTTGTTATATCCAGTCAACCTAATATTAAAAGCACACATTTGTTTTTTAGCCAGTGTTTCTCTTGGGTAAGAAACATCATCTACCTTTTCCAGTAAGGTTTTGTGTAGTACGGTTTGTTTATAGCTATTTGTTTCCAGAGCTAGTAGGTTCTGAGAGTGGGCAGTATGTGTCTATGTGATTCAGTAGTTGATGAGCAGTGCAGAAATGCCCGTTTTTGAGACCTAGAAGGGGGTATTTGAGATTCCTCTACAGTGTCTTCCTGAAATTTATCCAAGGAATCGGGTTGTGGCACCGGAAATCTCGTGTTCCTGTAGCAAACTGGATTTGACAATTCATGAGATTTGACTTTCCCACATCCTGTAGGAACCTGTGGGATGAAAGAGAATAATGTTTTATTAATGGAAAATATAAGGAATTATAACAATATAAAATCTAATCAAAGTAGAAGTGAATGAAAGTTTCTCCCAAAGTAATCAATTATGGGGGAGGGTCATTCAAGAAGTAAACTGGGTGGGAAAATTTGAATCAAAAAGTATGATGCAAACAGCAAACCTAGTTACCGACAGTATACCAGTAAAAAACATATTTAAGCACATGAACTGCCTACCCTCTCAACTTTTAATTTGACCAACAGAGCATATCATATGCTAACTGAAGCCTCAGTTAGCCTTCTTTTTTGTATCTCAATAGTACGTCTCATCATCACATGACATCGCAGCCATTTTACTGTTCCACAGAGGCCAGAAAAAATTACGCCATAACCCAAAAACATACTCTATTAGTCTATTATGAAGATTACTCAGGTTGTGATGACGCAAATATTATTTTAATTGGCTTTATAGCGTTCCTGATATACTTTGAATCCATGATAGCACAAGTTTTTTCAACCATGTGCTGAAAAAGAGTTAGAATGAGATGATTAACAAATAACAAGAAGGGACCAATGGGATTTACTAAATTAACCAGGGACAGTGGGAAATGCTCATAGGTTAATTTATGTTGAAGGGATCAATAAGGAAAGCATGCCATCATCATGTTATTGAAAATGATCTTTAAAAAATACATATCACCTAAGCATAGAAATATGGAGCTGTAAAACGAGAAAGGTACCTTAGGCACCCAATTCCACCTTCCACCTTCCCATGCTAGTCTCCTTCTCATAGAGGATATATGAATGCAAAATTCATGAGAGGATCCAACAAATCTCACAAAATAATGATCTTCTTTTAGAGCCTGGACAACAATGGCAACTTTCCAGGAGAAGTCATCAAATACCTCCAAAATATCACCAGGTAACCAACTCTCTGCATGTTGCACCAGAGGAGGAGAAGGTCTGATAAGGCTCCTATGTACCCTCTGTACCAGAGACTCACTTTCTCCCAAAGAATCGAATCGCAGTACGTAAGTATGTCCATCCCCAGAAAGTATCTCAGCAGCCCTCCATGAGATTGGCACCTCAGATTGATTGGTTCATTACCTCGACTTTAACTCCTTTTTTCTATTTCATTTGGGCTGAAGTTTGCAAATCCAATCAGAATCTGATCAGAGGAAAAGAGACATCAGCAGGATGTTAGAAGTGGAGGAATACCATCTTGACAGTAACACAATAAAAACAACACTAACAAACAAATCCAAGCTCGGGTAAAGAGAGATAAAAAGCATACAAACATGTGCCAATAAAGAAAGACATTTTCAAATAAAACCCAACAATATAGCTAATATAGGTTGAATGATATTTAGTGAATAACTATAACCAGAATCTTTTATTGTATGGGAAATATACTCCATACAAAAGAATTTGGACAGAGCAATTGATACTCGTATTATATACAAATTTCCAGATGTGGAACAAAAAACTGATCAACTTGTTAATGCAGAATTAAATATAAATTCGCATAAATCACGTAAGTGACGAACAAAATATCAGATTCAACTCAAATTATAGTTCATCCACTCATACAAATAGTTCAGAGTGTTAACCGCACGCACAATCCAAGATTCCAAGGAAAAATGCATTATATTCCATAGGAAATTTATTCGATGATGTGAATAGATTAACTCCATAAAATAAAAATTAAAACTAAAAATCAATAAATCTACAACAACAATTGTAAGGATAATAAACGCCATAATTGCAGCAAATAAAACTGAAGATCGCACACCTTTTGAATTTAGAGAGATTTCTTAAAAGAAAAACTGTTTCTCCGAGTTCTTGATCTCCTTCGATGCCTCAAAACATGTATCCTGGCAATCCTAGTACGTCGTTCTAGGTTTTGAAAAAAAAAATGATGTGAAAATGCAAATTGATGAAATACTCCCTCCGGTTTTTAATAAACTTCACACTTTCCTTTTTGGGACGGACTAAAATAAACTTCACACTTCCTTATTTCCTTTTTTGGCAAAGAAATCTACACCAAAACAGTGCCAAACAGTGCCAAACAGTGTCTCAACAGTGCCAAACAGTGTCTCTACAGTGCCAAACAGTGTCAAACAGTGCCTCAACAGTGTACTCTACAGTAAAGTCAAATTTCTTTCCTTATTTTGTGTGAAGTCAAACTGTGAAGATTAAAAAAAACCGGAGGTAGTATGTAAATCGAAGGATAAATATGAGTAGTGAGGGTAATATGGGAAAATTGAGTAAAACAATATGGCTTTTATCTTTTTTTTTTTACTACTCCCTCCGTTCTTTATTATCTGTCCTCTTAGGCTTTGGCACGAGTTTTAAGAGGAAAATAGCAGGGGTAGTGTAAAAGGTGTAATGAGTAGTGGGTAAATGAAAAAGTAGGAAAGAGAAAGGGGTAATGGTAATAAAAGTGGGGGTATAAAGGTATATTTAAAGTAAAAACTTTCCTTAAATGGAAAGGAGGACAAATAAAAAAAAAAAGTCCCAAAAAGGAAAGAAGGACTTTTATTAAAGAATGGAGGGAGTACGTAGTAAATATTAACCTAGTTAGCCTTTTTCCGTTTAAAACGCGTTTAAAACGCGTACCGTTTTTTGAACAAAAAACGCGTTTAAAACGAAAAATAATGTCGATTCGTTTAAAAAGGAAAAAAACTTCTACTTACCGTATAAAACGTATATTTCCCGTATTTCACAAAAAAATACAAACATGATTTGTTCAATTGAATGAATACATCAAATGAATAGGAGATCAACGATAGTTTAAAAGCAAAAAAGAAAACCTCATCCCCATAACCCCGTGTTTTTGTATTGTTACATTACAAAATATACAACCGTTAAATAATAAATTAATTGCATGATTACTGAATCTAGCATCTTAAGAGACTAAAACCTAAAATACTACTCTCTCCGTCCCAAAATGATGGTTCTGTATTTCCTTTTTAGGATGTCCCAAAATAATGATCTTGTTTCCCTTTTTGGTAAAGAACTAAAAGTGGATTACAATTTATATCCCTCTTTTTTTAATGAACAATAAAAGTAAAAGGATGAACAATACAATAAAGTAAGGTTCTTTAGTCTTTCTACCACATTTTCTTAATTCATTGTGCCCAAAAGAAACAAGACTCATTTTCTAACAGATGGGTACTACATATTAGATATGTGATGTTCTTTTCCAAACAAGCATATCAAAATTAAGTTTTTTCTAAGCTTGACATTTTTACCTGTAAACTTTTACACATAAACAATAACATGCGTAGCAGTCACACAACTTTCTCATATGTCATCCATCATCTAGGTGAAAATGATGAGTTTAACTTGAGTGTTATATGATGATCATATAAATATGATGATGATGTTACGTTAACTTGGGTCTCATTCTATCGTTATTATGCCTTATTTTTTGACATTACTTTGCAAAATTGTATCTTGGACTTGATTACTATTTTTACTTATGTCATCGACTTATACAATGACAAATTATTCTTTTATATGGTAATGTAATTTGCTACTTCAATATGTTTACACTCTCATTTCTTTTTATTATATGTTATTTTATGAAGTATATAATGTAAATGTTATTTTGGACTTTATTACTATTTCTTTTTATGTCATGAACTTATGCTATTATGAATGCACTTTTGATGGAGTAATGAGATATTCTTTTTGAATGTGTGTATTTTGATAATCCTTTATGTACTATATGTTTTTAAGCTCTAAAAACTAGTACAATAATTTAAGCATTCAAAATAAGACCCGTATTTTTAACCCAGATTTTTGTAAGAGATGTCGTATTATACACGTATACGTATTTAAACATTTTTTAAAAGTCAATGTACTTTTTGCCGAATTTTTGACCGTATTTTTTGTTCGAGTTACCGAATGAAACACGTACGTATTAAACCACGTTTAACTCCTGTACAGTATTTTTTTAACTAACTATAAAAAGATTGGGGTTGCATAATGCACGCCTCCTTTACTTTGTTTAGAAACCACCTCATTCGTGTCATTCGTGATCCAGTGATATATGGGAGCAAACTTTTGACCACGCCACTCAAGAAGCGCGTGTTGAATAACGGCCTCGTCATTTCAAAAAACAAAAATGGAAAATAATAATATCCCATTTATCAGTTTTCTTATAATAGTTTAAATCAAACATAATCTGAAAATAATTTCACATTTTCATCTCATTTTCTTTGGTCCTAGCTGATTGCCTATAATTTCAATTTTTTCCTTTTCTTTTCAAAATATCAAATCATATATCACATTCATTCACAAATCTTCTCAAAACGATCTCGCATATCTTTTTTTCTTCTTAAAAGTTTTCTCTTTTTTATTTATCCTCTGTGCGCTATTATTCTTTCTTCTTTCTCTTTTATGTATTATTGTATTCTAATTTGTTACTAGTAGTTTTTTCATGTTCTCTTTTTCCCCGTTTTTATTCTCTCTCCTTTTTATGTATTTTTATTTAGTGTTTAGTGTAGTCTCTTTTTACTGTAGTCTGCATGACCAATGTATTCCAGTAGAAAGAGCTTTAATTTCATTTAAATTATAACAATTTCTAGTTGCATTAGATTGTTTTTGTTTGAAAGGAATATGTAGGTGTCAAACTGAATTGAGTATTTGATTTCAATATATCACTTGAAGAATGTTTATTTATCAAATAAACGAAGAACTATAGATGATTCTTAAATAGATAATTTAGAGTTTGATGCTTTGTTTATACTTATTATTATCTGCCTTGTGTGGAGCTATCTCATACGTATTTGCTTACTGAAATACGTGATAAGTTGTCTTATTTGTTAAACGTGTGATATAGACAACCTCTATCTTTTTTTCCCAAAATCATGTCAGATAAAAAATTATTTACAAAATTAAGGTCAAGTTAAAACTATTTACCAAAATACTGATATATTTAAGTCTGGTTGACCAAAGTCGCCAAACGAAGTTCATGGGGCCAGTGGCGGATCTAGCTCTTATGTTTTGGGTGTTCAAATTTGAAGTTAAATTAAAACTATCACAACAATCTTGTGCAATGTGGTAATACTTCAATTGTATCTATGTCTATAAAAACTGTTATTATTCAAAGCACCACATAATATAGCCTTTTGAATATATATAATCTAAAATTTCGACAGTATGAAATTTCACCATTTTCATAAATAAGCTAAGCAAAAAACCTGCCACATCAAAAGAAAATGGCCATACCCTCATTGAATTACAGAGAATTCGTAATTCCACATCAATAAATTAAGCCAAAAAACTCACTGACACCAATTAATTAAGCAAAAAAAAACCTGCCACACCAATATATTAACCACAAAAAAACTATTCGGCCTCTCACACCTATTGCTCCTGCAATTAATTATGTACGAACTATGGAGAATGAACATAGACTGCCAAGTACTTAGTTTGCTAACTAGAAGGTGTGATTTGGAGGAGTGAGCAAAAGAGGATTGAATTACTTGGCTATGGGTGTTGGCTAAGCAGCAGGATTGAGGAGTTGGGAATTCTGTACGAAAGAGGATTGATAGCTTCTCCAAAGTAGGTGATGATTGCCTAAAGATGACGGTGGTTTTTGTTTAAATTGCCCAAACCGACATCATTTGATATAAACAACTGAAACTTTTTGGGTGTTCAAGTGAATACCCTTGAACAACATGAGGTCCGCCACTGCATGGGGCCCATGTTATAAAATCACATTTTTTCTTTAAAAAGCTATAACTTTTTCGTTTTTGTTCTAGTTTTTTTAAAAATATATCAAAATTCATAACTTTTTATTAGCTTTCATATGACACCAATATAGAATATATAAATTTTAATTTTTTAAAAGCTTATCAACTTTTAATTTTCAATCTCAATAGGAAATATTTCATACAGTATTATATAAAGAAACAATTTCTATTATATGGCGAAATTAAAGATAGAGAATGAAGATGTGACTTGATAATTTTTAGAGACGATAATTATGTTTAAATTTTATACTGTTGTGGCTATAAATGTGTACTCATAAGACCATTTGGAGTGGTGTGGGGGTAAAAATGTCAAAAATTGACCCAGTCCATACAAAAAAAGTGTTTTGACTCCTATTTTTCTATATTCCAGCACCGTCAATAAAGTAACTAAGCATACTTTTTATATATCAATTTGATAAAATATTAACTAAATTATTATAAGTAATGTTTTCCTTATAATTGCTTCCTTAAATAATTTTGAAATAAAAATACACATTTCGATGTAAAAATAAATAAATTTCATTAATTTTGCTAACATTTCGATATAAAAACATATTTTGCCCAAATGTTTTTTTACATTTTTACCTCCACACCACTTCAAATGGTCTTATGAGTACACATTTATAGCCACAACAATATAAAATTTAAAAATAATCATCATCCCTAAAAATTACCAAGTCACATCCTCATCCTCTATCTTTAATTTCGCCATATAATAGAAATTGTTTCTTTATATAATACTCTGTATGAAATATTTCGTATTGAGATTGAAAATTAAGAGTTAATAAGTCTTTAAAAAAATTAAAATATATATTCTATATTAGTATCATATGAAAGATAAAAAAAATTATGAATTTTGATATATTTTTAAAAAAATTGGGGCGAAAACGAAAAAGTTAGGGCCTGTTTACTAACATAAATATTTTCTGTTTTTGCAAAAATTTGGAAAACCGGAGATAGAAAAATTAGAAAACGTATTTACCTACCCGTTTCACAAAAGTAAAACAATGAAACATGTTTCACCTCTTTCTTCTGAAATTAGAAAAGCGACCTTTAGACGTTTTCTGAAATCAAAAAACGCGGAGCTACAGTAACTATTTACTTGCTCGCCTTCTTCTTCCGCCTACCCTATTTACGCTTGCCTTCTCTTCCATAGCCTTCTCCCTTCCTATTAAAGT